GCATTCCTGGCTGTCCAGGCCTCTTGGATCTGAAGAATAGGTGGGCGCAGATGAAAAATGAGTCTGTCACTGGTTCAATTTCCCAGATCATACTTGTGATTGTGAATAATAGTATAATAAGGATAGAAATCCAACCCAAATAATTAAAGTAACTTTTTTTTTAATCACAAGTATAAATTAATTCTTAATTATTACTTTTAAAACATTATATAAATCATCTTCATGAAGAAAAATAAATAGGTAAATTGATATATACCATGTCAAACGTCAACTATTTATAAAGTTAAAGTGACTTATATCTCTAATTACTCTCGAGATGATTACTAGATTTAGGTCCTATCTCATTCTTAAAACGAAAATTGAACTCCAAGTTACTGCCTAATCTAAAACAACCTCTAGCCATTGTGTTCGTCCATAGAATTGTAAGTTCTTTGGTTCGTGTAACTTAAAACATATAATTTGTTACGCTCATTTATTTTTAGAATTAATCACTTAATGACAACCAATTATATATTTTTTAATTGTGTTATTAAATATGTTTAAAGTGACATTACATAATTAAAAGTCACATGACAGTAAAAAAAACTTTACACTTTAACGAAGTGATTAAGTCCTATTTTTACATACATTTGTTCCATTTCATTTAAATAAAACTAAACTCTAATTACTACTTTATTTTAGGTTGAAAATTTTAATGTTGAAAATGATACTATAGATGGATTTGACTTGCCTATTACCTTAAGGAAAGGAGTTAGATCTTGTACAAAGCATTCTATATCAAATTTCCTCACATATTCTAACCCATCTCTGAGATATAGAGCTTTTGTTAAAGAATTGGATAGAGTTCAGATCCCAAACACTATCTTCGATGCTCTAAAAGACGAAAAATGGAGAGTTGTTATCCTAGAGGAAATGGCTGCACTAGAAGCAAATAAGACCTGTGATATTGTCAAGCTTACCAAGGATAAGAAAGTTGTGGGCTGCAGATGGATATTTACCATAAAAATGATTGCAGATGGAAAGATAGACAGATATAAGGCGAGGCTAATGGCCCAAGGCTATACCCAAACCCATGGTATAGATTATGAAGAAACATTTGCACCAGTTGCAAAACTTAATTTTATTAAAATTTTCATTTCTCTTGCAGAAAATCTGGATTGGAAACTACACCAATTATATGTGAAGAATGCTTTCTTGAATAAGATACTGTACAAAAGTATATGGAAACTTAGTGACACGGAGAAGTAAAAAAAAATCAATTGTTGCAAGAAGCAATGTAGAGGCTGAATATGGAGCAATTCTTCAAGGAGTTTGTGAATTGATTTGGATAAAAAGATTACTGCATGATTTTTTTATTCCCCTTCAAGAGCCTGTGAAACTATACAGTGATAGCAAGTCATCCATCAACATAGTACATAACCCAGTGCAACATGATAGGATGAAACATATAAGAATTGACAGAAACTTCATCGAGTTAGAAATGGAAAATGATACATTTTCTCTACATTATGTTCCAACCAAATTGCAAGAAGCAGACCTACTAACAAAGGCTTTGTTGAAGTCGGATTTTGAGTCTAATGTTAGCAAGCTGGGAATGACTAGCATTTATTCACCAGCTTGAGGGGGAGTGTTGGATAGAAATCCCAAAATTTATGGGATATTATTATGTTGCAGAATTTCAAGGATTAGGGTCTACAATTTATTCTTTATTGTTGCTACTGATTTATAAGGATTCCTATTTAATTATAGGAATTGTCTATTATTTGTTTCCTTTTTATTTCACTGTTTTATCTATTTATGTACTAGACCAATCATTTGAATAAAACAAGAAGAATGATTTCTTCGGCTTCTGATAATAGTTTTCAATATGCTTAAATGAGTTATTCATTGCTTTTAGGAGAAACAAGCAGCTCATACAGGAACTTGGTCAGCCTGCTCCTGGTTCAAAGGATCTTCAATTCCCAACTCAATACTCTCAGTCATTCTTAGTCCAATGCCAAGCTTGTTTATGGAAACAACGTTGGTCATATTGGCGTAATCCTCCATACACAGCTGTGAGATTTTTCTTCACTATTATTGTAGCACTGTTGTTTGGAACAATTTTCTGGGACCTTGGGGGAAAACAGTAAGTCAAAAATATGGAAAATTTTAAAATAATTTCTTATTAATCACCACAAGAAAAACTCATTTTACATTTTGTTACATCTTCTAATTCCACTTCAATTCTGATTCCTTGCGGTGATTTTACAGTTCTGAACTGCAAGACCTGTTGAATGCTCTAGGTTCAATGTATATTTCTGTTCTCTTCCTTGGAGTAATACATTCTTCCGCTGTACAGCCTGTGATATCAGTTGAAAGAACTGTGTTTTATAGAGAAATAAAAATGCGTCACCCTCTAATTAACACCCTAGCCCAAAATTAAAAACCCTAATCATCTAGAGCACTCCATAATACAAGAGTAAAATGAGAAATACAAAAGAAAATAAATTCTAAGTCCTAAATACCCCAAAATACAAGGGTAAAATTGGAAATACAAGTAAAATAAATTCTATGACTAAAATACCCCAAAGTACAAGGGTAAATTTGGAATCAAAGATAAGGGCAAAATAGGAATAAAATAAATGCTATGCTAATAAGAACTTAGGAGCTAAGGTCCAAAAGTGGCCTCACTAACCCATTCCTCTTGCCTCCTTTAATATATCACCTCTTGGTCTTCTCGGCCTTAGTGTTATTTCATCAATGTGATACCACTTTTCTTGAAAATCAATCTTTCTTTCACAATGATTCATTTTAGGGGGAGAATATGATTGAACTCCTTCATTTGGATCCTTCCATCTCATCCAATTTCTCTTCCTTTACCTAAATCTATACAAAAAGAATCCGAAACAAAATCTACACAAATAACTAGTCAAGGGGGAGAATTAAAAAAAAGAACTCAAAATGAGTTCAAATTTTTTCCAAAATTCTACACTAGGAGACATAATGTTCCTTTGCAAGGTCAATCTTCTGACCTGAAGCCAAATTATGTGAAAGCAATAGACCGTAACACTGAAGGTAATTGTGCAGTTGAAAATTTTAATGTTGAAAATGATACTATAGATGGATTTGACTTGCCTATTACCTTAAGGAAAGGAGTTAGATCTTGTACAAAGCATTCTATATCAAATTTCCTCACATATTCTAACCCATCTCTGAGATATAGAGCTTTTGTTAAAGAATTGGATAGATATATATATATATGTGATTTGCTTGCAAATGAGTAAGAGTGGGGATAATATTATAGTTGAAGAAAAGAAATTGCAGTATAAATAACATCCTCGATATCGTTGTAAATGATTGCATATAATTTGACTGGGTAAAAGATAGGCACATATATAAATACAAGACCCACATGTTATCTGGTACATCATGGGTGCATGTAAGATATAGGTATTAATATCATATTAACTGAAGGAACTTTCAGTCATGGCTGCATTTGATTTGATGGGAAAATAGATACAAGAATACAAGACTCGGTAAAACTCGCTCAACAATGCTCATCCTCCTATTATTACAAGAAGAATATATGTTGTAGTATACATGCTCAACTAGTAGCGGAATGAACTACACGAATCAAGCACATGTGTTTGGATCGTATTAGGTGTCATCAAGCACGTGTGGGATAACGAACACCAAGCAATTTTACATCGTCTATGACGGGTCCACAAAGGGAACCAGAGTTATCACTCTTCATGGTGTAAAACGTGCTTAGGAACCTAAGACGAGTACGTGTTGAGACGGCCTTGAACCTTAGCTTGCCTCTGACGAACCCTCCTTTGCCCTTGGATTGATAGGGAACTTGGACAGTGTTTGTGCCAGCAAATGCCTCTACCATCATGGAACCTTCACATGCATTGTTGGCATCACCCACTGCGAAAGTGAGATCATAGACCTTGCCAATTGTGGTGATCACTACTTGGGCAAGGGCACTCTCTTTCCTTGCAACAAGTTCAATGGCTCTTTTCCCCTCGGGCACCGAAAAGTGGTCAGAATCAATGTACTTTACCTTTCCCTGCAACAAGTTCAATGGCTCTTTTCCCCTCGGGCACCGAAAAGTGGTCAGAATCAATGTACTTTACGGCTTTAAGAGACTCAACTATCCATCCTGGCAAAGGACTGTGTGCGTCCTCAATGTGGGGTGGGATCAAAGCCCCCCAAGATGAGTTGGGAAACACATATGGCCCTTCTTCAAAGTTTCCATTTTTCAACAAATTGGCTGCACCCAAATTAAAAAAAAAAAATGGTTATATAATGCATACACAGTTAATATACACAAGTAAATTAAATTATATCTTGAATAGTTCCTAAAACTATAAACCAATTTAACTTGTAATGTTATAATTAATTGATTAATATCAATGAAGTTAAAACTATTATTTTTTGGATATTACAAAATATCTGTCAAACTGTGTTTATAATTAATTTAGAATATTTTTTTAAATTTATTTATGATTTTTTCATCATGAAAATGATTTCCTCAACGTGTAAACATATTATTTGACCATGACCAAACCTATTTAGTTGATTTTACCATCTATATCTCATAAAATTCAGTTCTACGACATGTTAGTGGATGGATGGAAATAAAGTTAGGAGTATTCACCTCTGGTTCTTTTGGGTATGTTCAAAAGCTTGAGGGCAATGGAATCAATGAGTGGGCCACATGCTGGGTCCTCCTCTTTGCCAGGGTTATGGATGATAATTTCAGCTTCTGGGAAATCTGCTCTGAAGCCACAGGCGAAAGACTCCCAACCATTGCTACCATACATAGTCTGAATGGGGATTATTCCCCAGTCGCTCTTCTCAGTGGTTGGGGCCACTGACACGTTGAGCTTCTCCTCTTGTGCACATGTTCTAGCAGCACTGAACGTGATGGAGTAGAACGATCCCTTGATCAGCTTCACCTTCTGCTTAATCGAAGCTTCATTGCCAAGCCTAACTGCATAGTCACCCTCAGGCACAACCAACAACATGTCACCCTGTTTTTGTCCCGATTTTATGTATTCAACGAACCCTGAAATTATCCAGTTCGGAATGGAATTATGCCCTGTCACCACCGACCCCTTCAACTGTGATGCCTTCGGGCCATGCTCGAAGTTCCCATTTGGCAACAACCCTGAAATTCACATGCACTTGGGGTGTCACTAGAAAAATAAATCATGCAGTTTCTTCTTTAAGACAACTTTTGTGTCGTGTTCCATGTGATGAGAAACATGTCAGTGCCAGTGCAGGCTGTGAGTGAGTGAGCACATGATAATGTGTATAAGCCATGTGAAAAGATTCAGGCTAGCTCTTGTAGATCCCTACCAGTTGTCGGTATTTTTTTAATGGATTTCAAAATTGGCTCATCAATTATATTTTTTAAATTGTCTTACCATTGCTTCAATCCTAATACCATGCAAAGAGAGAAACATAAAACTAACTAAAATATTTAATGAACAGGATATATTAAAAATTCCTTCTATTTGTTAACAAGATCTATATAATTGTTGGGGTTTATTTTTTTTACATGTAAGGAAAGAAGGAAAAGAAAAGAAAAGACATAAATCTTCCTATAACTTCTAAAGAAGCTATGTGAATGATATATACTTCTCCATAAAATATATTTTAACTGAAGGAAAAAGTTTAAATTAATTAATATATAAATACAAATAAAAAATAAGTTTTTATAAAAAGTTAAGATGAGAAGTATTTTATATATTAACTTGTTTATTACGTAATTTTAATTTTTTTTCTTCTTAATTTTTTCTCTCTTAAATATGCGGATCTCATGGACTATTTTCATGAATTCGTTAGACTTGATTAACTATTTCTCAGAAAAATAAATGATATTAACTCGCTAGGCTAAAGGGCAATTGTTTTAGTTCCAGCACAATGACCAATATCTCATATTAAAAGATAACGCAAATTTGAAGGTTAATTCTGCATGTTATTTTAATACAAGTATCAGAGTGCGATCTGACAAAAAGGATGTTGCAGATTCAAACTAGGCTAAGCAAAAACTTCTACAATTTCAAAATCCAAAGCAATATATTACTGTAATATTGTTTGTGATGTTTTAGGCAAAACATTAGTAGTATACTAGTATTTTATGTGAGGAAAATAATACAAAAACAATACTCCAATAACAACATACGAATTAGGCTTGTATGTAAGCAAGCTAGTATTGGGTTGCGAACAGTGCTGAAATATTCTAACCGGGTGTATGTATATAGAAAGCTTGTTAAAACAGCTAAATTTAAAACTAAAGAAACTTCTGCATTATATATAACTGTAGCTTAATTTTGTGACTTTAAATGAACGCTATGACGATTGAAGTGAAAGGAATAAAAGTAAATTCTAAAGCTTTATGCTATAGTGATGATTGGAGATGATGTTGGATCTTATGATAATACATTAGTAGTTGGTATGATCAATGATGGTTGGTTCTATCGTTGATGTAAGAATTAATGAATAAAGAAAAGTGATTAAAAGCCAAACACCTTTGCTTTGCATATATATATAACTAGAGATAATTAGAACTAACCATCTGTGAATGAGAAAACAACATGACAGGTTGAGATTGAGAGGAAAAGCAGTATATGCAGTTTGAGGTTCTGCATTTTGAAGAAAACAGAGAGAGAGAGAGAGAGTAAGATGCTGAGTTGTGTGAGTTGAGGTTGAGATCCCAGGGAGAGCGAGCACTCCGTTTTATTTGAATCATTTCATCAAATGACCACTCATTACGCGTAAAACTACATTAATGCCACTGGAACTATCCTCCTAAACTAAACCTTTTAGCTACCATTTCATATTTCCGATAACAGATACCTTTGTCTCCAATGCATGTTATATTCCCAAACATATCTCACACGTGTCAACATTATCTCATTTCTATTTTCTATTAATGCTCATTAATTTAATACTTCTTCACTACTAACCACATTGACACCAAAAATTTTGTTTCTATTTACGGCTATTTTTATCATACCAATCTACTTTGCATAATAAAGAGAAAGTGAAAAATTAACGCACACAAGACGATAATGTTCTACTTTGCAATTTCTTTCACCACTAAAAGAAATGTATGATAATTATCCTTATTGTTATTATTATTAATTAAGTCTGTTTTGAACTATTATCACAAATATCGTCAATCAATGACTTTGCCTACCATGAAGCTGGTCTTTCTCACATTATCATCATAGCTATTGATATCACTTGTATTGTTATATATCATAGTCATTACCATTTCTTTTACCTCATTATCAATGAGGTTTTGGAAGGTATAGATTAACTTATTGCCATATATATATATATATATATATATATATGGTACCTTGTTCTTCATAATTAAATGAATTCAAATTAAGAAGTACAGGATGATTTTGAATGGCTTAGATTTGAAACTAAATATCAAACTGGAAATGCCAAATTGAAGAAAACGGTTTGACGAAGGAAAAAAAAAAATAACCGAGCCAGCAACATTTCCACAGTCGAAAGAAAGGAATATTCTCCAGTTAAGTATAATTATATTGACACGTGTCATTCACATAGTCCTCGTTGCAAGGGATTGCTATAGAAAAGTACAACATTCAGTTTTAGGCCGAAGCTGAGACAAAGCCTTTAAAACCCACATGCTCTTTCAATCCAGAACATACATTGTCGGTGACCACAAATCATTACCTATTCTAAAAGCATTATAGTGAAGATCATGATCATGATCTCATGATATATCATAAGGAAAATATTAAGTTAATGTAAATTAATTTTTTATAACTAAAATCAAATCATATACTTAACTTTTCATAAAAATGTACAGGAGGTAAAAATGTATAATTCTTCGTGGACACAGGTTGTTTTTCGTCTTTCCCAGTCATTTGCAACATGGGATAACGTTTTATTTTAGTGATCTCTCAGTGGGTTTGATTCACCGCCTTATGCATGAACAGGTTAAATAAATATTTGAGAAAATAGATGATGACATTCAAATGACCATTTTAACCTCGTTGCACAATCTTCCTGATACACATGACTTTGGAATTTGATAATGTTTGTGTTAATCTTCTGAGAAGGTAGGTTGGGTCCAAGATCTCTGCATCACAAAGACAACATGGCCCCTCAATTAATTGAAATTGGTGAGTATTGTGTATAACCAAATTTACATGGTTTAATAGATCTCATCGTAAAAATTTTAGTATAAGTACTTTGACATTCGTATTTCTCAATAAGAACTCAGATTCAAATCTTAGATCGTTAATTAGTTTACATGAAATTATAATTAAAAATATTATTTTAATTATACTTATTATTATGCTAAAAAAAATTGAATGCCCTCGTGAGGATTGAGATACGATCAGCATCCAATCCAAGCTGTGAATGAGAAATCAGAAGGTGATTCACCAGATACTACCTTAGGCAACCCATGTGAGTGCAAGTTATTTTTAATTTCAATATGCCCTTCACCTTGCCTACATATTTGCGACCATTCTTTATTTTTCTTAATTTGTCTTTTTGTTTCTTCTTCAGCGGTGGACAATAATTCAATAATTTTGTAGAATGGGTAAATTGGGTAAGAAGATAATGACACTGATTTAGGGGCAGGTTCGAGAATAATTGCTTTTATGCACAAATATTAGGCAACAATTAACATGGTCGCATGTGGTTCACGTAGTTTAGTGCATCCTGTAGCATCTACCAGATTTAGCCTCAAATAATTGACTAATGGAACTTACTTTAAAACTTCAAATTGTAAAATTTTAGTTTATATTTTGTTATTAAATTCGTTGAAGTGAGTGTTTGATAAGTAAAATTTGCACAAATTGGATGGAAGATTTTACCTGGACTATTTCACAAGAAAATTATAGAATTGAAGCGTATTTTCATAAACCGTTTCATATTTAAAAATAATTATGCAGAAATAAAAATTCTCAGTATACAGACAAAAAAGGACAAAGATAAATAAATAATCAGGTGAACTGAGACAGATTTTTAGCCGACAATGTCAAATGATGAATCCATGTGTGTATGCACTGGACTTTCTTTTCTCTCATTCATTTATTTATTATATTTTTTAAAGTTTGATCTCTTTTACGTTCGTTGTTTTTTCTTTATCGGAAAAAATAAAGCAGTAGGCCATTTTTATTTTATAATAGAATTGTGGTTAAATTAAAAAATATTTAAAAAAATTAAAATTAAATTATGTATAAATTAAAATTAATTTTTTAAAACCACAATTATTTAGAAAACAAATAAAAATTTAATTTAAATTTATGAAAAAAATGATTTAATTATTCTGTCAATTTTTTATAAATATTTATAAAGTAAAAAGTTAATGTACTGAAACCTGGATGAGTGGGTTTCATACAACAGCGACTATTGCAGTGTTGTGATGGCCAAACTTTGAACACATGACACATTGCCTGATAAAGGCTTTTAATCTTGTTTGGATTCAAAGTGATTCTGTACTCTGTAATAGTAGCGGTGCCGTTTCTGAAACATGTGCCTTAGCCTCATCCATATTTATATTAGTCATTTAGTGTCTCTTTCAATTAAGAAATGCTTATTTTATTAAATGGTTTTATATTTTCTATAATTATTTTTTAAATATATTATATGACCATGAAGAATATTTGACTAGCAAAGTTACAACTTGTGAAAGTAAATTAGTCTTTCTTATTAGTTTATAAATATTATGTGAATGATCTATATGAAAAAAATAATATCAAATGCTATTCATGATAATATTTAAAATTGTGTTTGATTAAATTTAAATATTTTAAAAAATATATTAAAAATTAAAATAAGTAAAATAAAAAAATAAAAAAATAATAATAATAACTGATCATTTTTATATCACAATATATTTTTTCTCCTTTCATCAAGAAAATAAAAGTAGCTTATTTTTCAGAAAATAAGAAATAATACCCAATAAGCATTAAGCATTTCAGAATCCTTCTCAAGTCCTCAATCCTCATGGTTGTGTATCCTTAAATGAGATGATTTTATTGGTAAGTAATCATGATTTTCCATGACCTTCTTAATTAAAAAGTTCAAACTCAGCATTACTTAAGCCGTATAAAGTGCACATCATTTGAAGAAATGTGTGGGTTAAAAAAAAAATAACATAAATGACACGTATTACTAAGTTTTATGACACTATTAAAAAACTATTAGATCTAATACTTATGTATTGTACAGTTTTACTTACATTTTAAAAATAACTAAATTGAATTTTTGGTGTTTCTATTTTTATTTATCCATAATTTAAAACTTCATATTTTAAAATAGAGATTTTAAATTTTCTTAATTTTAAAAATATATTTTTTAAATTTTATTATTAAATTAGTATATGTTAATCATTAAATTTTGATATTTATTTATACTTAAATGATGTAATATAAGATATTTGAAAATAAATAAAAAATTAAAATTATATAAATAAAATTTATTAATAAAATAAATATTAATTATTTATTAAAATAAATATAAATAATATTTTTTGTAATTTATTTTTTTAGTTTTTATTTTTATAAATTATATCATTAACTATCACGTTACTTAAATAATAACATCACTGAATTACATTAAAATTTAATAATCAATAAATATTAAATTAATTATGAGACTAAAACTTTTTATATTTCTAAAATTAAGAATATTAAATATTTATATTTTAAAATAGGAGGACTAAAATTATAAATAAATAATAATAAAAGATAAAAATATAATTTAATCAAAAAATATATAATTTATTTATATAAAAATTATGCTCAGAATGATGCTTAATTTTATTATCTTTTAGACAATTTATTTCGAATAAAATTTTAAGATAATATATTTATCTTTTATTAACATTAATAACATTTTATTTTCATTTTTTTAACTAGGTTATGATTGAAAAATATATATCAAATATTATTTATTAAAATAATTTATTAAATCCATCACTATTGATCAATATTACATTAATTCAAGTAAAACTTTATTGAAATTTCTTAAATAACTAGCCATGTACGGGATAAATAAGCAAATGAAGTTATCCATTATACTTTTTTAGGAGTATGTTATCTATTATATTTAAAAATAATTAAAAAAATATGACTAATTTTAAAATTAGTTTAAATATTTCAATTATATGGAGAAATTGATTTATTTTAATTTATAAAATACATAAATATATTTAATCATAATAATCATACGTACAACAATTATATATTATAATTCAATCGATCAATTAAATCATTTACGTTTAACTTAATTAAATCATAAATAAAAAATATAATTCGAGATATAAAACTATATACAACATATTCTAAAATTTTGATTTGAAAATTACTACGTACCTAATGTTTGTTATTTTTATAAAATAATAGTAATAATAATTATACAACATTATATATTCTAATCAATTAATAAATTAAATTATTCAATTTATATGCATATATTATTTTTATATAATATATATTTATAATTATTGGTCATTTACATTATCAAAATCAACTTTTTTTTTAACTTTTAACTAATTTAGTCATTTTTTAATGAATTTTTGTAATTAATTGGAACTTGGTTACTATTACTTAATTATATCACTAATCTTTATATTTTGGCTAACATTTGATTAAGAAGTTGATTTGGAGCAAGTCAAACAAGAGAGAGTATATGGAAGTGAAGAAGAAAGACTTTTTGAAGTCCTCCTTGAAGATTTTTCAGCATTGGGGGTAACACTATGCTTAGATAAGTGGGGAGGGTCTCTGGTTAGAGGTTTAGTTGGCCCTAAGAGGAAAAATATATAAGATTTTTGTTTTGAACAGAGCTCATAATCTTTTATTTTTCAAAAAGCTTAAAGAGAGTAATTTAAAGAGAGAAACTTTGATTCTTCTTCCCTTCTTCTTTCTAGGTTCCTTTGGAGTACGAAATTTGTAGTTGGGAGTGTCAAATTTTAAGCTTAAACTAAGAATTAGAGGGTTGGGGTAGTGTTAAGCTTGGAAGCTCAAAGTTCTTTCTTTTCCTTCTCTTTCTCGATTACTTGGAGATTGAGATAAGGGAAGCTATAACGATTTAATTATTTGATTGATGAATTGTGTTGTTTCTTTCATCAATTATGGGCAAAATGTGGTTGAAATCAGATTGAAGGGTGAAGGGTTTTGGTGTTCTTAGGTGTTGGGGTGAACTTTGGTGATTTAAGTTTGTATGATGTTACATGTATCACTTTGGCTTGATTTTGAATCATACTTGAGTTGAGTTGATTGTCAAATGCTTTGCATGCTTTGGATTTCCTATTTTCCAAGTGCTTGGAGCAATTTTTGAAGTCTACATTCATGAATTTTTGATGTCTTGTCGGGCGTGCCTTTGTGGAACTGGGTGAAGTTTCAACTAAAGGGCTCTGTCTCGATCATATCTGGCGTAGGATCAGTGATGTTAGGCATTAGGAGAGAAACTCGTCTTGGGTTGAGATGACACTAAGTGTGGTTCAAATGGTGTTAGGCATAAGAGTAGGGGAAGTCTCTAACTAGGTGATGTTGTACGTTGCTAAGGTGATGTTGAGCGCGAGTCATACAGAGACTCTCTACTTGATATGAGGCTAGTGTGGTTTTTTCCATGCTAGGTGCGAGGTCCTAGAGGATCTCCACCTTGGTCGTGTTGAATGTAGTTTGGATGGCATCGGGCATGAGCAAGGTAAAGAGCTCTTTGCCTCGATAGCGTCAGATGCAAGGTATGTTGTGTTGAGCGTGGGATGTTTGGATGATATGTAATGTTTTTGGTGAACTTGTATGATGAACACCAGTATATTAGGTTATTCTATGGAAGGATTGTTCTATATATGTTGATTGAATATGACATATATAAATGATTATAGGATGTATGATAATTGTTCTGCATATGTTAATTGGATATGCCATGTGTATATGTTTTTATGGTGTTGGATGATGGCGAGTATATGTATGTTGTGCATATGTATGATGTATGATTTTTTTCAAGCATTGATATGCCATGTATGGATGATGTTGTTGATCTCTATATGTATTGACTGGATGTGATGTATATAGTAGATTTATGGTGAGTTGTAGATGTTAAGAATACACTATGACATTAAAGTATGTTGACTAACTTAGGGCTTGAGAAGAGAAAATTATTTTGAAAATTGAGGATTTCACGTAAATCTTAGAATGATGCTCAGGTAGGCTACTGTTAGAAAACCCTCCTTGAGTAGATGTGTCTCCTCTAGATCTTTAGTTAGTGGTTGAGTAAGGTAGGAGGTCGAGGGCTGTTGGTTTTTTTAGGCAAGCGCACCCAAGTCTCTGTAGTATGATTAAAAGGTTGTCGATCCTCAGAGACTTGTGAGATAAGCTATGATTTCTATTATACTAATTGATGCTTAAATGTAAAACTTGGGTAATTACACATATTCAATTTTTGATATGGATGATTATCAAACTTAAGTAACCAAAAGATAATTTAACTTGCGGAAAAACAGATATGAGAAACAATTTGGGATTAAATTCATCAATCTCTCTCCTATGTATTCCTAATGATTCTATCAAATGATTCCATTACTCATTGCTATTGAGTTCTCTATTTTCATTCAAACTCAATCCCTTGGCATAAGAAATTCTGAGATATTTAACTCAATGAATGATTCCTCACTTCATTCAGTTTAATATCTCGCATTAAGAATCAGAACTTGTTGCAACTATTAATTTCAAGACCATCCCTGGCTCTCAAAACTAATAGGTGATTTGTTTCAAGTCTAGATTCAGAAAACGTTTTCCAACCAAATTCTAAATCCAAGATCAAAGATAAATGATCAGTTTATCAAAGCATTAAGATCAGAATACAAATCACTGACATTGAGTAATAGATGAGATATATATATAAATCAAAGAGGAATATACAGGAGTTTGATGAATACATTAATCCCAAACCTAGAGCTTTAGCTCTCCATGGTATAAGAAATCACAAAACAACAAGATGAAAGGTAGAAGAAAGAGATCATCTGAAGAATCGCGTCCCCACGAGCTCCAAAGTGCTCTGTTCCTAGTTCCTCTCTGTTCTTCTCTTCGTACAGATTGTGATCCCCCCTTTTCTCTCTCCTCTGCCCTTTTATAAGTGCTAGAATTAAAACAGAGTAGGCAGGAAAGAGAAGAATCCGCTCAGCGCCTTGAAACGGCTAAGCGGTTTGAAGAATTCTTCACCATGAAGTAATCTGAAGGGCTGGGCCGTTCAAATCCGCTGAGCGCCTGAGAGATTCTTCATTGTTAAGCAAGCACAAGGGACTGGGCGCTTCATATCTGCTGAGCGCCTAGGAGGCAGAGAACACTCCTTCGTCCAGGGCCAAAACCGCTCAGCGCCTTAGAGTGGTTGAGCGCCTCTCCTTTGCTGCATTTGTTGAGCTCTCTAGCTTGAAAGCGCTCAACCGTTTCAAGGTGCTCAGCCGTTTGCGTCTAGATTTCAAAAACTACAAAGTAAGAGGAAAATCTGATCAAAAACTCATCACTCCATGTAATAATGTAAATTAAGAACCCCTCTTTGATTCTTAATGTATTTGCCAAAATTATATCAATATATATACAAAAAGTGTGCTAGATAAGTGTCTCAAATTTAAATTTCATCAAACTAATTAGAAACTTATCAAGGGCTACAACCCTTGACCAAATACCTAGAAAGGTTGCGTGGTTCCTTAAGGATGACTAGTGGGCTAACTCCATATGTGACTTGGTAATGTTTTCCAAGGTCATGATATGCCTATACCTAGTTGTACCACTTCTTTCTATAGGTGAATGTGTGACGACACATTGATTGATATGTTTGTATATAATGGGTGAAGAGGTGTGTTCATATGCATTGTTGATGTCTTGTCTGACATGATTTGGATGATATACATGTTTCCTTGGAGTGTTGTAGCTTTCATGTATGTTTGTGGTGTGACGTTGTATGTTATAAAATTGTTTTCTATATGTTCATATTTTCATACTCTAACTTACCCTTTTGTTTCCATTGTGATTTGGACTGTAATGATCATAGATTGTATGAGAGTAGATCAGGATTAAGCTAGAAAAGTAATGTCATTTGGAGGTTGGCAATACCTTTTGGTTGATGTTGGTGCCACTTTGGTAGCTTGTATAGTCGTGTTTACAAACACTAGGACATAGAATTATTGTGCATGTGTATATATATAACTTGTTTACATCAGTTTAGGTGTTTTACTTTTATACTCATATTATATGTATATATGTATAGCGCGTTTCTTCCTTTAATCTTGTATGTCTTAGTAAACTAGTTTTCATTGCTAGTGGTAGTGTTGTTCAATGTAGTGACCATGACAGGTCATTACATCGAACACCACTTTACTCACACCTAATGAAATCTTGGTAGAGAATGTCCTTTTTTGTTTGTGTGCCTACATCTGTGTAAGTTAGCCTATGTCAGGTTCCATTTTTATTATGTGGCACGTTTGATTCATTTTAAACCTCTCTTCAAGGGTTTGGGTTCTTCCAAGTGTTGTTAGGGCTTCCTTTATCACCTTGAAACTTCTCGTTGGCTCTCCATCTTCCATGTTGTTTTCATTTTTTGTGCTCTTTGTGATAATGAGGATCTAATTCCATCTTTATTAGGGTTAAATGTAACCCACTAAACTCCCACGTAACTTGTATTGATTATATGTGTGTGTGTCTTTCTATTTCGATGTTAGTATCTTGTTTCTAATATATATTAATTTTTGTTGTGGAGTGATCAACTATAACTTGATATTTGATTCATTAGACATTAAAAAATATCTTTTTGTAATCTTGAATTGAAAAAAAATACCTCAAGTTTGTTTATTAAGTATTAAAGGAGTTGATACTTAATAAAGGAATTTGGACTTTTTCTTCCAAGGAATTAGGGTTTTAGTAAACTAGTGGATTGATATTAACATTAAATGTGAAAGAAAATTGAGTGTTTTAAACATATAAGAGTGAGGTTTAATAAAGTTTAATCCCAACATTAATATTATATTTTATTTTTTTATCTAAACCGTCTTTTAAGTGTTTGCAAAAATACCAAAAAGAACTTTATCTTTATTTTACATGATTTTATTTATTTTATCAATGAATATCAATTAATGGAATATTATTTAGTCTAAATTAGTTATTGAATGTATTTATTACTTATATTACACAAGTCTTTTAGGAAGTGATACTTACTTATCATTGATTACTTGTGTGGCTCGTGTGGTTGCCAAATTCGCCTAACATGTAGCAAGTAGTAGGTAACTAGTAGTAGATAATAGCAGGTAATAGATAATAGGTAGCAAATAGCAAGCAGTAGAAAGTTGGTAATAAGAAATATGTAACAAGTAGCAAGTAGTTGGTAATAAGTAATAAGTAGTGGATAACAAGTAGTAGGTAGTGAATAGTAGGTAACATGTAAAGTTAAACAAGTAGCATGTAGGCATGGCAACGGGGCGGGGCGGGGGCGGGTATTACGTTTCCCGC